CCACCACAACTTTGGAGGGAGTCTGGGTAAGTCAGTCTCAGACCAGCTTTGCCACTTGCTTGCTGTGTGACCCTGGCTGGTGTCTTCACCTCTCTGGATCTCAGGGTCCTCAGCTGCGAAGTGGGAGAGCTGGGTGAGAATACTTCTCAAACCCCTCCCACCTTGCATGTGCTTGGATTCTATGCTGCCATGCGCTTCCAGCCCAGGGTTTCCCAACCTCGGCACTACCAGTGTTTTAGTCCAGACCACGCTCTTTGTGGGGGGCCGTCTGTGCGCTCGAGGATGGTCAGCCTCGTCCCTGACCTCTGTCTGCTCCATGCCAGTAGTACTCCTTGCCCCAGTCGTGACAACCAAAAATGTCTCCCAAAATTGCAAATGTCTAGGACGCAAAGGAACCCCTCCAAGACTGCCCAAGCACTTCAATAAAGTCGAGATCATGAGTGATTCGGTGGAAAAAGATCTTTCTGTCCCTTTCTCTCCCTGACTCCCTCATACCTACATGCACACCTTTTAAACACAACCTCCCAGCCCCTTTCTATTTCTCATTTCTTAAATGCCCTAAGTGGCCCAGGGTGTGCTTGGTGTGATAATGAACCAATTGGTTTCATACTTTCTTCTAAGGAGAGTTCATGGGTTTATGTCCCCTAAGCAACCGGCCTGGCTCCCCAGAAATCCCTCGCAGAGCCCCAGCTGGCCCGGGAGCCTGTATCTGCAGCCTGCAGGAGGCTCGGTGAGCACGGATTTGTCAGCACTCTTAAATCACTGGGCTCCGAGGAAGGCTTCTCCCAGCACAAAGATCCTTCCTTAGGAATCAATAGCTCAGGGCCTTCCATCACATTCAGAATTATCCTGGGACTTGTAAAATTTATTTTCCCCAAGCATGGCAAAACCTCAAAATGAAAGCCCCAAGGTGGGGGAGGGAAGAAGGCAAGGAAGGAATCCTGCCAGTGTTGCTCCGAGCAGAAGCTCATGTGCAGACCTGGACACTCAGTCTCATTTGCTGGGAAAAGAAAGACCCAATGTGATCCTGCAATAGCATCTTCTCCCAACCAGACACCGGTGTACATTTAACCGAGGGCAGGGGCTTGTGAGACTGTCTTCCTCCGTCTTCACTACCCTACCCTCATCACAGCGTTGCCAGCTTCCCCATTTTGCAGAGGAAGAAACTGAGACCTACAGAGGTTAAGTGGTTTGTCTGAGATCTCTAAGCCAGTGAGCAGGGGAGCCAGATTCCAAGCCTGTGTCCTTCCCACTGCACTGGGCTGTCTTCCCAGCGGGAGTGGCGTAAGGTCAGTTATCGAGAGGGCTCATGAAAGAGGCGACTTCTTGTTTTCTAAGGGTGTAATACTACTTCTCAAACTCTATATCCTCTCTCCCTTTCAAACAAAAACCCTGTGCTACGGCTGTATTTTAGGTAATATTCCTCTGGCCTTGTCCAGAACCAGACCGAGCTTTGGGAATGCCGGCACAAGTCTTTAGCTAAGCTGGGAGCTGGCACGGATCTCCAGCACAGCCTCTCAGGACCCCACTTTAACGGAGGAACCGTTGCTCTGTGGTGGTCCACCTTATCCTACTGCCTCCCTCCTCCGCCTGAAGATAAAGACCCAACTTATCTGTGAGCCTGAAGGAGATGAGAAAACGCAAGCATCTTCCCTGCCAACAAGCACTCCCTGGGTGAGCCTTGGGGACAGAAGAGGATCCACCTCCTGGAATTCTCAGGTGGCAGGCAGCAATGGTTCCTCCTGAGGGTCACTGCCACGTCAGCTGAGGCTCCGAGGGGAACCTCACACCGTGTGCAAAAGAGCAGGGTGGGAGAGGAAACAGAGGGGCCAGCCCACAGGCCACTCAGCAAACCTTCCCAGGCCCAGCTCAGATGTCGCCGGGCAGATTCATGGAACAAAAAAGGACAATGGAAATGGTAGTATCTTCCACGTCACCCAAGAAGCCCTAACATAAGGATTTTGCAAAAATAGAACATTCTAGCAGTCTGACCTTGAGCTGGGAGCAGCGAGAATGGGGAAATGGGCAAATAGTGGTTGGACACTCCAGTACACAGATATCCAGGATCTGCATGCTGGGGGCCCCATAGGCTGCAGGACACAGAGACCCCACTCCAGCCCACCCGAGCGGAAGACAGGAAGTGCTCCAGGCCTGGGTTTCAAGGCCACTGCGAGGAACTGGGCCCCTCTGACTCCTAACTGGACACACAGAAACCTGGAGTCACACTGCTTTGGCCTAAAAAACCCACTTGGAATAATGAGATAACGGAGAAAGGGGAAAGAATAATGAGGAATTTCTGTTACTCATATATGTACATTATAAGAACTCTATCTGCTCCTCACTGCCTCGCTCTAAATAACAGATTCAAAGGAGATCTCTGCAAATTACTACATTCATTAATTTACTTATTTCTGATCGGTTGGCAATTATGAGTATCTGCCGCGCAGGGAACACACATCCAGCTCGTAGTAAAGAGGTAGCAGGTCAGGGAGTGGAAAGAGCTCTGAGTAGAGGACTAGGACTCCCTAGGATCCAGTCCTATCTCTACCACCAAACAGCCATGTGACCTTGGGCAGGATACCTGCCTTTATGGGGTTTCAGTTTTGTCATCAGTGAAATGAGTGTGCATGTGAGTGTTGGAGATGAGATAAGGTTGGACTATTCGATGCTCTTCAAGATTCCTCTCACCCAGCGCTCACCGTCTTTGGCTCTGTGAGTGCTTACTGAGTTCAAAGAGCACACCGACACCCAGCACAAAAGGACAATCTTGGAGAGTGAGGGCGCGTGGGGCTAAGCATCAGCTCTGTTTCCTTGGAATGTCGTATTTGCATCTGCCCCATTGCACCTGAGGTCGCAGGACCACCTGAAGTCCAGGGAGCATGTGGTGAAAGGGTTTCAATCATGAAGGTCACCGTGGTGGGCTGTGGCCTTTACTTGATTAGAGCATTAAGTTACTACGGCCAATGAAGGGCAAGAAGTAAGAAAGTCAGTGGTCCTGAGCTGGGTGCCTTTGTTGCCCCCTACTGGACACCAAAGAGCCTGCAGGGCAGTTTCACTTGCTTCAGCAGGCAGCAAGAAGACAGAAGACTGTCACAGCTCTTTAAAAAGACAAATTTCCTCGTCTGTGGCCCTCTCACTAGAAACGTCTATGTTTTGCTCCTCAGAATTATATAGGCCATTGGGCCACACATTCACAGGGGCACTCATGTACAGCAACAGGAACTCTTAACCAGACATCAAGGTGCCAAGCAATAAACACGAGGGCTCAGAGCCCCAGGTGCCGCCCATGTGGACAGAAGGGTAGAAAGAGTAACAAGCAGATAGTCTGCCCTACACATCCCCAGTGGAAAGGCAGTCTTGGGAAATGCAGCAGAAAAATGTTGACTGCAAGCAGAGGATGGAGCTGGGTTTGGGAGTATGGATTGATAGCCCCCATAAAAGATTTCCAGGCTGAAGCAGCTACCCTAGGAGTTCAAAACACGCACCCATGTTCAGGGATGGGGTACAGGTGAAGGGTTCAGCCCCAACTGAGAAGCCCGCCCTTGACCTTCTCCAGAGACCAGCAGTACCACCTGGAAACCTGAATCGTCTAATCGTGGTCCATTGTGCCAGCATCAAGACCCGAAACTCTCTTCAATGCCTCTTAAATTAACTTTAGGACCTGCTGCCAGAAGGATGTTTTTAATCAAGTCAGAGGGAGAGAAAACGCGTTCTCAAAGGCCATATTGGAACAACCGCCATGTTCTCACTTTTCCATCCTCCTTCGCCCCTTCCTCATGGCTCAGAGTGAGGTACAGGTACAGTATGGCTCCAAATTCTCTCTAATTCAGTCTCGGGTGTCCCCAGCCCCAGGGCATCAGGGTCAAGAAGTCTCTTATCCATAGCGTGCCTCTTCCTGCACCAGTTCTCCCCAGATTCAAGATAGCACTAGAGTTGTCCCCTATTCCTGGAACCCTCTTCCCTTCCTTTCCACCTGGCTTCACTTGGGAAGTCCTGCACCCATCCCAGAAGACATTTCGAGTGTGACCCAAGAATGTGTCCTGTCCCGAGAGCTGAAGCGCTCCTGGGGCACACAGAAGCCACCCCAGGCACACCCCCTACCACCAGCAGCGGCAATATTCATTAGTCATCCCCAGAGGAAGGGGCGTGTGCTCCTCCAACCCCGAGAGCATTTCCCCGCCACTCCGAGGTGGCTGGGATGACTTTGGATTCTTGAGTTGGCTTCTGCAGAACTGGGACTCACCTGGGCTCCCAACTACTGTACTGTGAAGAGGCACGCTGCATTGCTGGGCAAGCCCCCAAGCCTGGCCTGCTGCCCCACCGAAGCCTCTATGTGTTCCCACAGGGTTGGAGGAGGACCTCCGGCTCCCCTGGAATGCCTGAAGCTGGCTTGCCTGAGACAGGCTGGCGCGAGGAAACCACACCTCGGTCCAGCAAAGGCAGCTGTCAGCTACGCTGCGCGGGGCTGGCTACCGGAGCTCTCTGCCACCCAGCGCTGTGCGGGAGAGATCGGCTTCCCCGGGGAAGGAACGCCAGCCCCCCTCGGCTCTTTCCCATCTGAAAGCTTAGGCACCCGGCCTAGGCCAGTAGCTTCCCCGGCCCGGAGCGGAGCCTGCCTGGCTGAGTGGCTCCCCAATGTCCCCAGCACAACCCTCCTCACCTGCTCCGCCCCCTTTCAGCCCCAGTACCCCCTTCCCAAACAGCTGACCTCCAGCGCGCCCCCAGTTGTGAGGGTTGTCGCCCCACACCTCTGCTCCCACCTCTCCGCCACCTCCGACCCCACTCCCGCCTCGCCCCCAGCCCGCGAGGGAAGCTCCGCGCGCCAGTCGAGTCCTCAGCCCACTGGCAAGTTGGAAGCAAGCCGCTGCCACCTTGGCGGTCTCTGTCTTCCCCGGTTCCGGGTGGCATCCCCGCCACCCCCTGAGGGCGGATCGGGAGGGGAACCTAGGGCGGGAGAAACTTTCTTCGTCTGAGGTTGGGGGCACGGAGCGGGTACTCACGCCGAGGTCAGCACTGGGAGCCGCCATCCGGTTCTCTCGGCCCCACCTCCCCGGGGCGTTGGAGCGCGGGCGTCCGCTGAAGCCTCTGCCGCCGCCGCCTTCCAGCGCCCAGCCCCGGTCCCGGGCTGGCCTCGAGCCTCCCGCCCCGACGCCGCTCGCCCGCTTTATACAACTCCACTCGAGCGCGCCGGGGCTTATGTAAAGGCTGGCGGAGCCCCGCAGCCAATGGCACGGCGGCTGGAGCTCGGGGCTCGGGGGCGGGGGGCGCCCGCGCGGCCAATCGCGGCCCGGGGAGCCTGGGGAGCCGGGTGGGGGAGGGCGCGCCTCCCCGGGCTGATTTAGGAGTCGGGATTGCGGTGGCAGCAGCCGGCAGCACGACCAGCCCGGCTGGGCCAGGCGCGGCAGGCGCTGGGGTGGGCGGCGGCGCAGGCGGCGGCGAGGGCGGGCGTCCCCAGCGCCCCGCCGCTGCGGCGCGTAACCTTCAGAAGGCAGCGGGGCCTGGCAAGGGGGGCGAGGGCGCCCGGCGGGACGCTGGGGGCCCGGGGCCGGCGGGAAGCATGGGTCCCTCGGGACGCAGCGCCGGGAAGGAAGGCAAAGGGGAGGGAAGGAAGGGCAGCGAGCCCGGGGCCCCGCGGCCGCCCCAGCGCTCAGGGCCGAGGGTGGCGGCGCTGCCTTCGCGTTTTTCCTCCGGGAGCGACCTGGCGTCGCCGGGCCAGGCCGGAGCGGCCGCGCCAGCCGCGCAGAGGGCGAGATTTCGCGCTGCGGAGCGAGCGCCGAGCCGATCCGTATCTGGCCTGGGAACGTGTCCGAGCGCCTCCGGGGGACTGCTCTGTATGGAGAGCGGAGCTTCGCGACGGCCGCAGAGGGAGGGGAGCGGGCGAGCACCGCTCGGAGATTAGGCGCGGCGGCCGCGGCAGCGTCCCCTCCCCCAGTCCCCTGCCGGCGCTCGGGCTGAGCCCCCACCGCACCCCGCCGGCCTCTGCCCCGGCAGCACCGGGGCTAAGCCCGGCCCACCCACTCTGGTCCCGTGCGTCCTTCCAGGCTTCCTCACCGCTTTGCTCACAGGTACTGCTGCCCCTCCTCCTCCACCCCAAGCCCGCTGCGGTGGGCGCCGTGGCCTCAACCCCTGAGGACCCGGGGTCGTGGTGGCCAAGCTTGGGAAGAGCGCTCCTGGACAGCAGTGCTCCAATACCCGCGTGCCGGGCAGGAAACGAGCCTAGGTCGATGACAGTCTTAATTCCCCTATGTGTGTGCCTAGAATAGAGCCTGGCACATAACAGGCGCCCAGTGAGGGTGTATTGAATGAATTTTGAGGTTTCCTAAGGAAGGGCTTTGGGCTTCTGAAAGTTGGGGCACAGACAGGGCTTTCGAAGAGAAACATCTGGTAATAAATCATCAGAGAGACAGGGAGATAGGACTGTTCTCCCAGTTATTGATGCCTTTGTCACCATCGCCCTGACATCAGGGCGCTTCACTCTTAACATGACTTCAGTGTTTCTTCTATGGAGAGCCCGCTAGCCGACCCCTGGCCGCAGGCCCCGCTACCCCACGTTTTGAGCAGAGCCTCCAGGGCCTACTTTGGGCCCTGTTTTCAGGTCTCTGTGACTGCCCTTTGAAAGAAGTAGCCAAGCATAGGCTATCCTTCTAGATGTTCAGGCCACCGGTCTTGCCGTAGTTCTTAACCCTCAGATGCTTTTGAGAATCTGACAAAAATTATTGCATTCTTTCTTTAGAAGAGCACACACACATACACACCTCGAGTATAATTTCAGGATCATTAGGGACTCCGAGTCTCTCTTGGGGTTCTCTCTGCCTGATGTACACGCGTTTCTCGAGGGGTCTGAGGCAGTAGTTTATAACCACCTTCCTTTTGGGGATCACAGGGCCGCCGTGAGCCTTTCAAGAATCTAATTATTGTTATGGGTCTACTTCTCAGGAAAAAAATGCTCAATCATACACTCACATACATGTTGACATGCAATTTTGGGGGGTTTATGGATCCTTTGAAACTTAATCTAGGACCGCAGATTAAGGCTTCACCTAGCAGCAGGTAGACTCAGCGCCAAGGGCACACCTGACCCCCAGCTCTCCCCACGAGGAGCCCAGTTGCTCTGCACCCTGCTGCATCACGCCTCCACCCCGTCTGAGGGCATCTGAGTCATGTGATGATGGCCCTGGCATCTGAGAAACCGTTCCCACACTTGCCTCTGCATCTTGGTCCCCACCACCCTCTTAGTGTGGAAATAAGTTGCAGGTTGTCATGTTCTGTCTGATCTATGAGTGTTCCTAACCCAGAAACTCTAACTCAGGGAGACAGCAAGTGACTGGTAATTAACCAGCTTCACTCAATCCCATGCATCTGAGCACACCTTTCTTGGTTTTCGTTCTCACCTCTCTTTCTGCGGGTGAAGCTGTGAGCAGCAGCCCCAGCTGTGGAGCCTCACCTCACCCGAACCTGGCATATTTAGTAACCAGCGCAGTAATTGTCGGTATCAGCCACCCAGATGTGAATAGGCTCTCTGCACCAAAGAGCCCTGTAATAATCTCACACTCTCTTGCAGCTAGCCAGGTAAGGGCGCGACAGACCAGAGGTGCTGGGGAAGGACAGAGAAAGGCGAGAAATGACAGAAGGACACATTCTTTCCAGGAAGTTCTCCAGGAAATGCAATCTGGTTTCTGCACTTGAATTTGTCAGGGTTGAGCCCGTGGGCCAGGCTGTCCTGATCCTGAAATTTCTAATTCCTCTGACGTCTTCCATGTCCAAGTGCTCAGCTCATGCCTGTGTCCACTGAACACTCCAGCCCTGTCCCGCCCATCTCATGGTGGACATTTCACCCTCACAATCACGCAGGTGCACCCTGCTTTCTCAGGGCACAGGAACAGCTCATAGACTGAAGTGAGTCCCCCACCCCCAAACTCGTGTGTTGAAGCCTTAACTTCCAATGCGACTGTATTTGGAGACAGGGCCTTTAAGGAGGCAGTTAAGTTAAAATCAGGTCAAAGGGTAGGACCTTGCTCCTTAGGGTTAGTGGCCTCATAAGAAGAGAAAGACAGTGGAGATCTCCCTCTCTGGCAGGAACAGAGGAAAAGACATGTGAGGACACGGACAGGTGGTGCCTCGTCGTGGCAGTCCAAGCAGGAAGACACGAGTTTTCAGCGCGCTCCTTACCCCATCTGGCTTGTTCAGCCTCCTCCCCATACCTCGACTCCAGCCCTTTTCACTCTCGGGAAGTCTCTCTCCACACTGTCCCTGGAACTTACTCATTCAGGACTTTCACCTAAAATGTTGTTTTTCTATCTTTGGGTACCCAAACTAAGTCTCACCCCTCATACCATTTTCCAAAACTGCTCTAGCCAGAGCACTTTGCCTTTTCAGCTTTCCTGCAGGTCTGCAACATCTTGGCACTCTACTATGCATATTGTTCTCTTTTCTCTCTAACTGTTTCTCACGCATAAAGCTTGGCCATCCCATCAGAATGAAAGCCCCTTTAAATCCAGAGTTTGTACCTTATACTCGACTACCTCATAGAACCCAGCATGAAACTGGGCACAGAGGGAACACACAGTGTTTGCTGGTTGATTTATTCCAATGAAACATATTTACTCTTCAAAAAAATTCTTAAAAGTTTATGTAGCACTTTATTTTCTAAAAACTCAAGAAATTTTGATTATGTCATTTCAATCATTCTGAAAGCTTGTTGGAGCAGGGAGGGGCCTCAGGAGCTAATATATATCCCCCCTCTCCCCACCCCATAACACGTGGCTGGAAACTGTCTGGACAGACCTCGTATGTGTGCGTGTGTGTGTGTGTGTGTGAGAGAGAGAGAGAGAGAGAGAGGGAGAGGGAGGGAGAAATAGAGACATTTACTGAAGAAGATACAAGATACAAGAAGCACTGTACACAGGACAATGACACCTCGGTCCCCTTCAAAGTAGGTACCTTAGGGCCTCACACAGTTCTCCCAATCGCCATCAGCTGCCCCATTGTATTTCCCTGAATCTCATCGATGGTCTGAAATCTCTTCCCTTTCAAAGGTGACTTTAGTTTTGGGAAAAACCAGAAGTTGCAGGGCACCAAATTTGGTGTAGAGGGCCTGAGTCACCTGGGTGATTTGATGTTTCACAAAAAAACTGCATGAGATGTGTTGCATGAGCAGGCGCACTGTTGTGACGAAGCTGCCAATCACCAGTGCCCATAGCTGTGGCCTTCTGAATCATCCTGAATAGATTCCATGGAGGAACGTTCAAGCTTAACGCAAAATTTGACGCAGATTCATTGCTCCACTGCTCAGTCATTTTGAATGTTGATGGCCACACAGTACACACACTCACTCAATGGCTTCTACCGCCCCCACTGACTAGTACAATGAAGCTGTCATTGTTTATGCATGTGCATTCCAGTCCACACATCGATGTCACACAAACTGTTCTCATTATATTAACAACGGCTGGACCTTTTCTGCACAAGCGCACGCACGCGCACTCTCTCTGTGTATATATATATATTTATACACACACACATGCATATATACATACATATTCACACACATATTTTTCAGGCTCAGAGGGGCTCCACGACTTGCTCAGAGTCACACAAAGTCAACCCTTCTTTCTCCAAATCGGAAGACATGTTACCCTTGGTTTCCTTGTGACCCTCACCAATGTACTTGGCTGTCTTCTCACTCTCCAGATGGAGAGGAAAGGCCAGGGGACCTCAGCTCTTAGAGATGTTTCTGTTTGAACAGATCAGTTGCAAAAAGAAAAGAGAAGTTGATACAGTTCCTCGAGGCTCGAAGCCAGAGATGTTTTAGGATTCGAAAGGTACCATATATTCTGAAACATCCCTTGCGAGGCTTTGGGCAGTATCTCATAATCAGCCACGTTAACATTTCTACAGTAAAATATATGAATGTTCGTGCTGCATGAGTGTGAGGATGAAGCAGCTTCCCATCAGTGCAGGCCTGGGGTGTCTGTGGCCAGGTGGGTTTCGGCGCTACACTTGCAAACAACAACAACAAACAACTCAAAATCCACCTCTCGTTTTTCAGAGATTTGCAGATTTGAGAATTGCAGGTAATGGATTGTGGAATGACATTTTAGGCTCGGTTGTCCCAAAAGACATGGATGTTCGTGAGGGTGTGCAT